CAGTCAGGATTGTATCTGACTAGGCACTGCAAGGTCTAAGATTAGACATAGGCCAGGTCTTTTTCTTTTTGCCCAGTCGGTACAATTTGAATTCCCAACCTAAACTTTTCTGCTCTTTACATAGTATTTTACATGCATGTTCTTGTTCTGGTCTCATAGTGGTAGAATCTGTATATCCATGTTTGTTTTAGAAAGGATTAACGTCTTGGCTTGGCAAAGGCAGAGATAAGAACAGCCGTTTCTGACTCTTGCACCAAAAGAAGCATATCTAAGTAGATATTGGGCCAAGATAGATGGAAATCTAAAGGCAACAATCATACAGAACTCTACTAAGTCCTAGTGCACGTGGCCTGTGTAAGCCAAACTGTAGTTACCCACCCAACAGATAAGCAAGCAAGAAACAAGTAAATATTATCATTTCCCTTTGGTGTGTAGGTGATATCTAACTGACATAGATCACTTAATTTTATTTCCTTAACTTACAGCATTTGTAACATTGTCTCTAAAGATATGGGTGGAAACCACATTTTGTAAAGTCTCTGCTGGATTTCAATTATCTGAAGGGTATGATGGAATAAGTTTCCAAAGGTAAGGAGGTGAAAGACATTCTCTATTATTAAATGTCATTCAGGGCTGTGGTAGTCTGACTAAGAATGACTCCCTTAGGCTAGTATATTTGATTGATGTTTGGTACCCAATTGGTGGAATTATTTGGGAAGGATTAGATGACATGGCTTTGGGGGATGTGAGTTTTCTAAAATCCCACAATATTCCCAGTGAACTCTCTTTACCTCATGCCTGTAAATGAAGATCTAAGTTTCTCAAGTATGGTTTCATTGCCACGCTTGTCTGCCTGCCACCATGCTCTCTTGATGATGGTCATGGACTCTAACCTCTTGGAACTGTGAGCCCCCAATTAGATGCTTTCTTTTATAAGTTGCCTTGGTCAAGCTGTTTTGTCACAGCTATTGAAAAGTATTAAAACAGATACTACACCAGCCATGAGGCTACACTTTCACTTTGGCTCATCTATAACTGAGAAGCTTAGTTAAGGTAATAAAATAATAAATAATTGTGAAAATCATATTAGTTGGTGAATTGAACCTAATGCTGGGTTTTGTCCACTTTTGATCTCAGTAGAGAATATACATTGTCCAGTGTGTGAGACATGCATGCTTTATAGTATATTTACTGTGTATTTTCATTTTCTATCTGGGTATTGAAAGACAAAATCAAATCCCATAGCCTCTCATTGATGTCATATAGCGATGACTATAAATTCTATGTTGATAGTTGGAGGTTAAGGGGAGGGATCTCCCTGGGAGATATAAGCTATTGTCCAAATAACTGTCAATAGACTATTATGTAAGTGGTCCAGTTAAGTTTGGGAGGCGGGTAGGTTAGAAATCGATTCAAGGTTTACAGTGTCAAAACTAAAGATGTTCAAGTAAACAACATAAGTCAATACAGTTGGGCAAGTGATAGGAATGGAATTGCTGTGGTAAGCAGAGACCATGTGTTCCAGCTCTAAGGGGAAGCTCTTTGGCTCCAACTGATTTTGCTATACAGGGCCATATTGCTTCTTGTTTATTAAATATAAAAGGAAGAATAATTTGTGAGCCCCTAGTAGGTACCAGGAGCTTTTATATGTTCACTGGATGCAGCAGTATAATAAAAAAAAGAAAGCATGAAGAAACCATATAAAAGAAGAAAGGTCTTTAGAATGAGATAAGTGCTAAGAAGGAAAAATTACATAGTTCAGAAGTGAGAAGTGATGTGTTAGAGGGTGACAGGGCCAGTCTATACCAAGATGATAAATTTACAGGGTGAGCCCTGCAGGCAGGAAAGGCCATTGTATTCATGTGGAGTGTCAGGATCAAGAATTCCTGAGCAAGAGAGGGGTGGGGGAACCCCGGGAAGGGACTCAATGGGGTGAACAGTGGGGTGGCAGGGTGTTAGAGTACCCACAGCCTTGGATGTTTTTGTGGGACACAGTCAGGGGTTTTCACTCAGATCTTAACCTTTAAATGTAAGGTTCATCTACTGACTATGTACTACAAAAATTATGCCGAATCCACCTGTGGTCTTTGAACTACTTATATCAAACAAATCACAGTTTAAAAAAATTCATTCCAGGGATCAGAAATATTTAAATATACTAAAAATTGTTAGCCACTTCTACAAACATAATAAAATCCTGAATCTGTTCTACTTTGGTCATTGGCTTAAAATAGAGAGGTCATCAGAATAAAAGGTGGGAATAAATTCAGGGATAAATTAATAATAAATGTGTGTAGTTTGACTCAAATAACAGTTACTTAGTAGTCATTTTCATATTTGCATTGCTGTTTTCAGAACATTAACAGCTCTGAGTAATTGTACACAACAAAACCCAATTTCAATTGCTTAAAAATGTATGCTAAGTAGAAGTGATAAAACATTAGTGTCAATTGTGTGGTTTTTTAGCAGTTAGAAAGTCTATGTTTAAATTTTCTTACATTTAATGGATAAATTAAAGGCATTCTTAAAGACTACTTAGAAGAATATTTTTAAAATGTTCAACCCCAAGCATTCTAAATTTGCTTATTTTTATTTGATCTGTGTAATTATTCTCAATTATTATTTTGTTTTGTGCAAGTTATCTATTATTATAAACAAATGTGAGCAGGATCTAAATAACATAATCCATTTTAGACATAAATGAGCTTTCCTTACCCTCAATCTTTGGAAAATTAGTTTTCACTTAACCTTTGGAATAATAAATTCACATCTAGTTTCTACAATAGTGAGATGGCAGAGGCAATCAGGATTTATTTTAAAATGCAAAATAAAAAAAAGGCAGTTTCCATCTTTGACATCAAGGATGTACGAGACGCAGGTTTTTTGAGTACTCTCCAGTGGAGAGGAGCACAACATACAAAGAGCTGGACTCACTCTTCAGGGATATTCAGTCCCCTTCTCAGGGCAGTTCAGTGCTCCCTGGTTTTGTGTACACTCCTCCAGGCATGGCTTTTACACACATGGCATCTCTTATTTTTACTTAACAAAATGGAGGCTTATTCTATGTAATACTCCTTTTCCCACCTCAAGTATTGCTTTGATGACTTCTTTATGTTCTTACTATGGATAGGTTTTATGTGTTAAACCAACAGTAGATGGATGACCATTTTGATTTATTTTTATTTGATTTGATATACCATTGTAGGTGGTATACAGGATTTAAAGTAGGCATATGGGTGAAAATTATGCTTGAACAAAAGGTATGAAATTTCATTAACAAAACTAGTAAATGATTCCTAAAACTCTGCCAGCCTTTTGGCAAAGAACTTGAGCTACATTTTTCCTCTCATTACCATGATTCTATCAAAAAATAGAAAAAGCATAAAATATTAAACTATTGGTAAACTACAGATAAAAAGTAGACTGGACTTTCAGAAGGATTTTTTTTAAATCAAACAACTTTTATGAATAAGTACTTGGGAATTCAAATGCACTACAAGCACACATAGAAAAGGGCCAAGGACAATCCTAGATTTTGTTTAGCATTTGGTTCTCAGTGAGCAGATGTGGAATAAACACATTGGTCCTTGGATTCAGCAGTCTATAAGGAGATCTGTCCTTCTTATTGATCTAAATCTCAGAAATTGGAAACAATTAAAGTACCCTAATCTAAGGTAGCTTCCATTATGTGAAATTATTTAATTTAAACATAACAGTTATATGTAACTTGAGTATTCTGGACAGATTACGAAAACAATATTTAATCCCATGGAGAATTTATAAATGTTTTGCAGCATATAGCTAAAGTCAGAGTATACACCTTCTCTTCTTTTTCTATAATCAAATATATATGAAATTATTTTAATATTGTTACAATAATTTCATGAAAATTCAAGGTTTTAGGAGCAAAAATCCAGAAGGTGTACCAGTTTTGGTTGTTTTTGTCTCATGACTGGGAATGCTTCCTTTAAATACATCTCTTCAGTTCAGACAGAAATGTTGAAATCTTAGTGACATTGGAGAGTATTTGGGTTAGTAAAATTAAAGCTATTTCCTTTGAATCAAGATAACATACATCTGTGCTCCAGGTTTTCTGAATCATATGGAGAGAAATCAAGTTCTTATTTAAAAGACATGGCTTTGCCTTTTTGAAATTTACCCTTCCTACAAGAAACCATTTCCTAAACTATTCTTTGGAATTCTTTAAGATGCAATGTGAAGCTAAGTAAGAAGGTGAACCCAAGGAAAAACATATAGTTATCCTCTTGGCTAAGGGAAGTAGACCCAATTGCCGGGGAGAAAATTAGGATCTTGGGGGTGGGGTGGGATGGGGGTAAGGGGAGATGGGGAGAGAAAAGGTAGAAGGGAAGGAGGGGGGATTTGGGGAATCAGGAGAATTGGGATAAAGGAAAGGTGGATAGGGGAGCACGGAACCACAATTCTTAGTTAAGGGAACCACTTTAGGGTGAGCAAGAGATTTGACCCTAGAGGGGCTCCCAAGTGCCCAACATGAGGTTCCCAGTTAGTTCCTTGGGTAGCTGAGGATTGGGAACCTGAAATGACCCTATCTGAGAGCAATACTGACGAATATCTTGCATATCATCATAGAACCTTCATCTGGTGATGGATGGAGATAGAGACAGAGACCCACACTGGAGCACTGGACTGAGCTCCCAAGGTCCCAATGAGGAGCAGAAGGAGGGAGAACATGAGCAAAGAAGTCGGGACCACGAGGCGTGCACCCACCCACTGAGACAGTGGAGCTGATCTACTGGGAGCTCACCAAGGCCAACTGGACTGTGACCGAAAAAGCATGGGATAAAACCGGACTCTCTGAACATGGCCAACAATGAGGGCTGATGAGACGCCAAGGACAATGGCACGGGGTTTTGATCCTACTTAATGTGCTGGCTTTGTGGAAGCCTAGCCAGTTTGGATGTTCACCTTCCTAGATATGGACGGAGGGGGGAGGACCTAGGACTTACCACAGGGCAGGGAACCTGGACTGCTCTGTGGACTGGAGAGGGAGGGGGAGAGGAGTGGGGGGAGGGGTAGAAGGGTGGGAGGAGGGGGAGAAGGGTGGGAGGAGGGGGAGGGAAATGGGAGGCTGGGAGGAGGTGGAAACTTGTTTTTTGTTTATGTTTTTTTTTCTTCTTTTCTTAATAAAAAAAATTATTAAAAAAAAAGATGCAATGTGGACTGTAAACTGAGATTAATAAAGTTTGTTCTTGAAACTCTAATTTAGGGATGGATGGTAGCTCTCTGAGGATCTCGGGAGTCAATTATTCATTAAGTCCTTTGAAGTCTGTTAACTGTTCACCAACAAAGCCCAAAGATTGTGAATATAACATGGAACATCCAAAAAATCCATAACATTTGCTGTTCTATCAATGAATTCAATGAATATAGAAAAGTAGAAAACTATGTCTATCTTCTCTAGAGAAGAAATGATAATAATCAATGGTATTTGTCTTTCAGTTTGTTCTGTGGAAAATTCTTTCAAAACTTATTTACTTATAAGATGAGAGCTTTTAAAACATGCTTAGCACATTAATGTTGTAAGTTAAAGAAGGTGGGCTATTTGCCTTAGGCTCTAACTGGAAACTTAAACTGTAGAAAATGAAAATTTGGAATTTATACATGTATTTTCAGTTCCATGAGAAACCCAAGGAGAAGTCAAATTATGGTCTAAGGAATAGAGAGAAAGAATGCCAGAGCAGTGTGTAAAGAATGCATAGTCAGGATGGTTACAAAACCAACAGGGTGTAGTGAGTGACATGGAAGGGTAAGCTCGAATAATCCCCACCCTCTGAATGGTACTTCATAACATATACTGTGACGTGAGGGAGAGTTGTGTATTATCTTTTAACCTTTCCAGAATGCTTCTGGGTGCCAGGGAGGAGACTGGCAAGTAAAAAAAGGCATAACACCAAGTCATAGAAAACACAAAATACTTCTGAATGGTTTTAATAAAATATGTGTAAAACCCGTGTATAAAACACACAAAATTTGAGAAGGGAAAGTAAAGATTATATATGTGAATGAACATATCTACTTTGTTCATGGATTGAAAGATAAATGAATGGAAACATATACTATATTCCTAGATATATAATGGGAATAAGGTGACATTCCTCTGCAAATTGGTCTATAGGTTTAATAAAATCTCTCTATATATCCAGGAAGCTTGCATTTGTATTGGAGCCCGGTAAGCCAACATAATATAACAATGAAATTTGCTACCACCTGTTGTATGGGACTATTCTCTAAACCAAATAACCACCATTCTTATCAGCTCACTTGTGCCTGCTTGCAAAATATCATAATTGACTGTTGACTGTCCTTCATAGAAGGAAAGATTGGAGGGTCATGGAGCCCTCAGTCGAGTATCCATCTATTGTGGGATATTCCTTTATAGTGTGTGAATATGAGTCACAGTTATTGGTTTAATAATGGCAGGAAAAAGTTAAGTGAGACTTGAAAGGACAGAGAGCTTGGGGAAGAAGAAAGGCAGAGTTGCCAGCCAGACACAGAGAATGCTTTATGGGAAGTACAGAGTAAAGATAACTGAGTCACATAAAGGATGTAGATTAATAGATATGAGTTAATTTAAGTTATACAACCTAGTTAAGAAGAAGCCTGAGCTATAGGCTGAGCTTTCATAATTAATAATAAGTCTCTATGTCATTTTTTTGTGAGATGGTGACCCAAAGAAAACTTCATTTATATCTATTACTTCCAGCCAGTGAGTTGTATGAAATTTTGTCTTAATTGTACAGAGGTCAGGGGAGGGACAACAGAATAAAGGTGGGGAAGAGAGATGGTAGGGGTTTCATCTATACAGTCATGTGACATTCATCACCTTGCTTTTAAGTTCATCCACTCTCCTATCTATAAACTTTTTCCTATGCTTTGCAAGGAAGCCTAATAAACTCACTAGTGTTTTAGAAGGAATATTAGTGAAATTGTGTCTCTATGTATTATTGGATCCTTAAGTGGAGGAACAGACATTATTGCGTCTCCCACAGGGAAGGAATTTTAGTAACATTACCTGATTTTAAGATTTACAATAACCCATGACTTCATGACCCTTCTCTATCAAACACCACAGCGCTGGAATTACTAGACCGTGACACCACACTTTCTTGCATTGTAAGTGTAAGGACATACTCATCACTCATCAATGCTATACCTTGGAGTTCAGAAATAAAAATATAGACATGTAGTTTATTTTATGTTTCCTCTAACTTTGTTATATCATTCTTATTTATTCTGCAGTCCTGCCATCCACTTTCTATCCTTCCCTTTGTCCTTCCCTTTTCTTTATCTATTATGAACCTGTTCACCTATTCTCACTTATTCCTTTTGATGACCCTGACCTTCATTAAAGTTCATGATCCAGAAGTCAATTGATTTTTGATCAAGGTGTCACAGTAGTTAAATAGAGAGCATGTGAACTCTTAGAAGAAGCTACTAAAATAGCTAGATATTCATAATAAACAATTAAGTAAGCTTCTACTTTAACATTAAAAGGAATTCTCACCAATAAAGCCAATTGTGTGAGGAGAATGTTGATTAGTTACAAATGAAGAATAATATTTTAAAATATTTTATATTGTCACTCATCCCTTATTCTATTGAAAATTTATTTAAAAACATTAGACACTATGAAGTCAAAGCTTTACATACAAATTATGAATTGAAACATGTTTTGCAAGGTAGAATTTTTATAGAAACAACTGACAATGGGGAGATGGGCCCTTATAATGAAACTTATTTAACCACTAAAACATAAAACTGTAAGTATGCAGAAAGGCTAACAGCAGGGAACAGCACAATTGTTAATTATTAGTCTTTTCTTTAACTGTGAGAACATTCTCCAACGGTGAAACTTTGATTTTTATAATTAGAATTCAATCATCATTTTGTGAAATTGCTAAAGAAGAAAATTGGATGAGACCCAGTGGAGAAAGGCACTGGATACTTCATGCACTCATTAGGTCAAGGTCAAGTTATCAGGTTGTTTGTCACTTAAATACCTTCAAGTAGCTCCGCCTCATTTTTTTTTGATTCATATTGTGCATTTCTTTGGATGGTAGAATCTTTTTATCCTGTGAAATCCTTTTTCTATGTCTATGTTTCAGAATTCTGCTGGTTCTGTTTTGGGAAGTTGTGAAACCTTTAAGAAGTTGGACCATGCTGAGAAGCAGGTCATTAGAGATGGCTCTTTGAAGGTTACACAGGTTGTCTGGGGATATGCCTTCTGCTCCTGGCCTATGCCATGATGAGAAGCCACAGCTGTATATTGTCCAACCATGGAGAGAGACTCCTGCTGTCACCCTCTCTCTTCCATGATCAACTGCAGTCCCTCTAAGACCGTGAGCCAAAATGGCTATCCATTCACAGTCTCCCAAAACAGCACCATCAGTTGAGACCTAAAAATATTTTAGACTCAGATCTACTTAAGTTGCTTTTGATTTTTTGAAAGGAAATTGAAGTTCCAACTTTTACAATTCCTCTTAGGCTTTCATCATAGAGTAAGAATTCTAAGAAAGGAGAGAGAGAGAGTTATTTAATGATAATTTTTAATAATTTGGGATAAAGTTCACAAATCAGTTTGATGTTGGTAGAAAGTATTAGTTAGGGATTTAATACTCAGAGCTGGAAACCAACTCACAAATATTTACATTGTTGATGAATTGGTCTTAAATGCCAATAACTAGAACTATGGCTGCCTTTCCAATCAGCTATTGAATGTGATATACCTTTCTCCTCTTTGTTCTAATGGCCTGCTCTTTCATCACCCATAACAACTGTGCCTCTAAGACATCCATATGAATGTGCCTGTGTTAGAGACGAAGGCTGAGTGGGGTCAAGCTAGCTCCTCTCTGGCCATTCAATATGTCTGAGGAAACCTCCCTGGGGTTAGTGATTGAACCTCTCATGCGTCATTCTTGAAACTCTGGTTAACAATAGCGGACAATGAGGACTACTGAGAACTCAAGAACAATCGCATTTGGTTTTTGATCCTACTGCACGTACTGGCTTTGGGGGAGCCTAGGCAGTTTGGATGCTCACCTTACGAGACCTGGATAGAGGTGGGCAGTCCTTGGGCTTCCCACAGGTCAGGGAACCCTGATTGCTCTTTGAGCAGATGAGGGAGGGGGACTTGATCGGGGGAGGGGGAGGGAAATGGGAAGCGGTTGCGGGGAGGAGGCAGAAATCCTTAATAAATAAATAAATTAAAAAAAAACAATTAGTGGTGTACATTTCATTGCTCAGATTATCTTCCCCTTCCTCCCTTCCTTTCTTTCTCTTTGCTTTCTTTGACTCTCTCCCTCTGCTTCTCTCTTCTTCCTTCCTTTCCTCTTTCTTCCCCTTCCTTCATCTCCCTCCATCTCCCCTTTCTCTGTTTTGAAATGATCTCATCATCACTCGATGCTTTCCATCATTTAGATTCAGATTCTTCTCAAAAACACGGAGAGAAGATGAGAAGAATGCATGATGAAAGTCTAGGTGCTGGAGTTACACAAACAAGTGTTTGGCCCTTAGGTATTATTAGCAAACTTCTGAATTCTCAGAGCCCTGTATTTCCTCATCTGTACCACAGATAAATGATGCCACTACCAGTGCAGGTGAAGGCTAATGGGATGTCACATGAAGCCTAGGGTAAAGCTCAGTCATAAATCACTTACCTTAGATATACAAGACCTTGGGTTCAATTTCTGGAACTGCAAAACTTAACTAACAAAAAGAGAGATGATAGGAAAAGTCCTTAAGATACTTTCTGGTACACAGAGGAGTTTAATGTCTAACTTAGGTAAATAAAAATGGTCTTGAATCTCAGACTACCTTCTTCATACTCTCCTTAGACCCAGCATGTATGGTACTGTGACTTTTTCTTGTACTTTTGTCCGGATTAATGTGATATAAACATACTTCTTGACTGTCACTAGTTCCAGCGTACTATTCTTCCCCTTGTTCCATTTTTCACTTTCAGTAATT